CAGAGAAATGTCCTGTAACTCCCAGCATGCCCTGAGCAGCATGGTTAGTTTGAGAGTTTGTAGGACTTTTCTCTGTTCAAACACGCTAGGATTGCGTCCTTAACTGCTCTTTGGTAAGAACAACAAAGGATCCCTGCTGGATCAGATCAAAGGTCTATCTAGTCCAGCATTTGGTTCCCACAGGGGCCAACCAGGTGCCCCAGTGGAAAGTCTACAAACACAACCTCAACACAATCGCACCACCTCACTTTTGTTTCGCAGGTATATATCTGGTGTTCAGAGATATATTGCCCCTGATACTGGGAGTAACAGATTGCCATCATGACTACTCAAACATGTCCTAATTTTAACCACATTACTTGGAAGAAGGTCTCACTGATTTCACTTACAACTCTGGGGAGTGATTGATGGGGCTTAGTTCAGCAGCAAAGCATCTGCTTTGCACACAGGAGGTCCCAGTTTTAATCCCTGGCATCTCCAAGTAGGAAAGAGTCCTGTTGGAAAATCTACAGGTAATCCTGGGCCAGACAGATCAATGGTCTGACGCCACAGAAGGCAGCTTCCTAAGTTTCTGTGACTGTTCTTGAGAGTGTTACACCATTCTTTCTGCTCTTGGTAAAGAAACCGTATGGCTGAGTTGTAAGCTATGGCATAGGTGTGCACTTCCCACATTCATAAATGCATGACTGAGCACTACATTTTTAATAGTGCAATCCTGTGCATGTTTACTCAAAAGGAAGTTCCACTAAAGTTTGCAGCCTACATGCACATTTAAGACATTGTTGCTTTACTGCTATTAAACACTAGCCAAGTGTAAACATGTGTTGCTCTTCATTGGGAGGGTTAAAGGCCTCAACTCAAACCATTCTTATTGAAGTCAATGGGACTTTAAGTACTTAGCACTGTGATATATACTACAATTCTAACAAACTGAATGTGGGCACATCTTGGCTAAATTAAAAAATTAAAATTCTTTTATCTTGAAAGGAAATATTTGTACCTATGTGGTGTATTAACAAGCATTGTCATCTTTCTATAGGGAGGAAATGGCCAAAGATTATTTCAATTTTCATTTAAATTGACCAAATGAAAGCCCCTTCAATGAAATTACTAACTGTATCTAAATGAAGCAATTATCAGTGCCTTATCTCTTATTACTTACCTGCAGTCAGTGAACAGGTTTTAGGGTGGCCAGAAGACAGTCTTCTGGCTGAAGGGCTGTTAATACTGAGCCTTCTGTTTCAACGCAAGTTTGGTTTAATGATCAAGAATCACAAAAAGGGTTTTGAAATTGTCCATCAACACTGAGCACTTGGACAAGCAGACTGAGCAGGCACAAAGTCATTCAGTCACAGTTACATCCCCAATTATTGAGATATAGATTGCATTTTTATTTATAGTAATTTGAATAATCTAATATGCACACTCTGTGCGCTCTTCTATTTTTCTGGCTGGTCTGTATCTTCCTTTTTGGTAATATGCTGGGGTCCTGGCCTAGACGTAAAATCCTTTGAGACAGCCCTGAGCAACCCTCAAAATCTTTCAAGAGAAATCCTTTGGGACAAGCAGTGCCAGAGCTGTGTTCTTTAACCACGTCAGTGTGCAAGAGATGACCGTGGTTGTGAACCCAAAGCACACTGGCAATTTGATGTGCTCCGTGAACGTATTAGGTTTCACAAGTGCTGACATTTAAGCATATAACGTATGACATTTGCTCTGAGTATGCAAAAAGTGCTTTGACAGCAGTCCAGTGACTATGAAAATAAACAAAGAACCAAAACTAATTGAAATAAAAAATGCTATATATAGTATACTTGACCCCAGCTGTTAAGTGCAAGCCAAAACAAGAAATTTTCGGACTTCTGCAATATGTTCATGAGAGATTTTGGCAAACAAGTTCCATGGGACTAGGGCAATTGCTGAACCGGCAGCTCTGAATGTTACAAATAAGCAGTGACAGAGCAAGTGTGAGTGATTTGTACTTCCTGTTTTCATATTTCCAGTGTAACACTCTGTCTTTGGGTTATGAAGGTCCTGTGCTGTTAAGGACTCTTTAAAGGACACTCACACAAAAGGAGGCAGAACCAAAAATGGGAACAAAGGGACAGGATATAATTAAGAAATGTACCATTTTTATTACACTTTTAAAAAATCACATCCTTCCTCCAAGGAGCTTACAGTAGAATCATAGAATAGTAGAGTTGGAAGAGGCCAAAGGGCTGTTGGGTCGAACCCCCTGCTCAGCACAGGATTCCAAGTTGAACCATCCCTCCCAGATGTGTCCAGTTGCATCTTGAAAGCGCCTAGTGTGGGAGAGCCCACAAACTCCCTAGGTAATTGGTTCCATTGACGTACTGCTCTAACAGTAAGGAAATTTTTCCTGATATCTAGCCAGAATCTGGCTTCCTGTAACTTGAGCCAGTTATCCCATGTCCTGCACTCTGGGAAGAACAAGAAGAGATCCTGTCCTTCCTCTCTGTGACAGCCTTTCAGGTACGTGAAGAGTGCTATCGTATCTCCTCTCAGCCTTCTCTTCTTGAGGCAAAACATGCCCACTTCTTTCAAACTCTCCTCATAGGGCTTTGCCTCCAGTCTCTGAATCATCTGTGTCCTTCTTTGAACCCTTTCCAACTTGTCTGCATATTTCTTAAAATGTGGTGCCTAGAACTGGACACAGTATTCCAGATGAAGCCTATCCAGTGTTGAGTACAGGGGAACTAATACTTCACATGATTTGGAAGTGATACTTCTATTAATACAGCCTAAAATAGCATTTGTCCTTTCGCAGCCACATTACTGACTCATCTTCAGTTTGTGATCTACAATAATTCCAAGATCCTTCTCACTTGTTAAGCCAAGTGTTGTTAAGCCAAGTATTCCTCATCTTGTAACAACCTATTTGGTTTCTTTTCCTAGGTGTAGAATTTGCATTTATCCCTACTGAATTTCATTCTGTTGTTTTCAGCCCAGAGCTCCAAATGATCAAGATCTCCTTGGATCTTCTTTCTGCCTTCCAGGGTATTAACTATCCCATCCAGTTATGTGTCACTTTTGAGTATACAAGCTTCTTCTCCCTCATCCTCACAACTACCTTGTGAGTTAGGATAGGCTGAGAGAGAGGCACTGACACAAAGATCATCCAGTGAACTATATGACTAGGAACAATTTATACCTTGTTTTCTCAGTGGCAAGCTAACCCAGGCTTCCTCAAACTGTTGTCCTCTACATGTGTCTGACTGCAATTCTCATCATTCTAGAATGATGGAGGTTGCAGTCTGGCACATCTGGAAGGCACCAGTCTGTGGAAAGTTGAATTAAGCACTACCATGTTCTTCCAGTTTAGGTGTAAACTCGATAAGAAACCTCATCCTCACATTGCCACTTCTTTGCTCAAAGTGTTTATTCTCTATCCAGCTCTTCATCCAGACTCCCACCTTGTTCTTTCCATCTACCATGCAATACCTACACCTACCTTGCAGAAGTATCAGACACCTGATCTTCCATTGCCCCACAATTTTGATCAAGCACATTATCACCTGGGGTTGTTTCTCAGAATTCTAATTTTTCATGCACTGGGATCAGCCCAGGGTAAGGCTAGCAATACATTCCTACAGATGTGCACAGAAGCATCTCCCACTGAGCTTACTTCCAGGTAAGTGTGCATAGATCAGTTGTCTATGATGAATTAATAGTAAGCTTATTTATTAGTTATTGCATTTATACATTGTATCCTCCACTTACCAGCTACCTGGAACAATGTACAATTAAAATATTATTAAAACTTATCATAAAAGCATAAACAGAAGGAACAAAGGAAAAATCCCAACCAGAAGAGCATTAGGAGCATTAAAACTTAAGCACAGCAACACATTAGACAGCATTAAAAACATGATAGAACAGAACCATCTTCACTGATCATCTAAAAGGCAAATGAGGAAGGAGCCAACTCCTAATGTTCAAAAGGAACTTCCATAATCAGGGTGTTGCTACCAAAAAGGCCCCATCTTAAATACCCACTAACCTAGCTTCTCTGGGTAGTGGGAACTTATAACAGTATTTCTTCTGATGATTGTAAATTGTGGGAGGTAATCCTTCTGATATCCTGGCCCCCAAAAGTTCAGGGGATTTTAATGTTGCAGTCAGCACTTTGAATTCTGCATAGAATCATATCAGAAGCCAGTGACATTGTTCTAAGATCATGTCATTTGAGCTACAAAGCCTGACAAAAGTTTAGCCACCACATTTTTCACCAGCTGCAATTTCCAAACAAATTTCAAGAGCCGTCTCATGTGCTATGATAATAGAAATGCTAGGGGATTCAAGCATGAACCTTGTGCCCCTGATCTTCCTTCCCCAAGGATGCAACTGGCAGGTTAAACAGAACGCACTCCTGGTCACTGTTGGTAGGTAACCTTCTGGGAGCAGCATAGTGCAAATGCGTTTCTCCATCAGCGCTCTTGATGTGAGTGAGACTGTGAATTCCATCATGCCTCACTGTTGGCTATGCAGGCTGGAACTGAAGGGAGTGTCAGTCTAACAACATCTTTAGGGCCACACATTGTTCAGCCCTATTACACAGAATATTTTCTTTGAAATGAGTCCTGTTGATTTTGATGGAAGCAACATATAAGTAAGTGTGCTCACAACTGTGGCCTGTATTTAATTTCCAGTGTATAATTCAGTTAAAAGGAGAAATGCATTTCCTTCGAGTCATCACAGGGGTTCTGCTTTCTCGCAGGGGGGAACTTGCATCCTCATCTTCCACATGCTACCTATACATAATCATGCCCTTCTATTATACATATTTAGAATCAGCTTCAACCCTTAAAGCTTGGCTGGTTTTACCAGAAGAGCCTTGACACATTCCTAAAGGACTGCTTCCTCTTTTCAAGTGAGTAACGCCCCCCCCCCCAAAATCAACATCAGATTGAAAAGGGAAACCGATCTACTTAAAAACAAACAAAAAATGGAATTGCTATTCCTGACCGTATACTACTTACATGGGTCACCTTTCCTTCGCCCGCTCTTTGAGTGGCTTTTGGATGGAGACGGTGCTTGCAAAGAAGCAGTAACTTCAGTTTGGGCTCCTGCTGTTCTGTGTAAAGCAACTAGCGTTTAAAGTATTTTTTACATAGCTGCAGCGGGCGAGTTATACATAGAGCGAACGAATGGAAAATGGATGTTGTATCTTGAACCCACATTAGCCGGAGAGGATTTTGTTTTGAGCTGGTTAACAATGGAAACTTTTTTTTAAGTGTTTTCCTCCATCAGTCCTGCCAAGCAAGAGAGAGAGAGAAAGAAAAAAAAAAAAAGAAGAAAAAACTTGTTCCGCTGAGTTCAACCCCAGACAGGCTCACAACTTCCTTCCTGCTTTCCGACACCCTCCCCTCTCTCTTTCTCCTGCACATTCAACAAACATTCAAGAAGCAGCCAATGGCACAAGGCTGGCGCTGGAAAGACGAGCAATGAACACCGCGGCAGATCAGTTAACAAAATAAAGTTACCGATTCTGCCGAACCAATTCTTTTCCTCGCTCTTTGACCCATTAGACTGCGAAGGGGGAGCGGGGGGGCTGAGGGTGAACTGACAGAGCCTTGATCTGGACGTTTGGAGGGCTGTGCACCCTGATGCCCGGCGCTTTTTCCGAGGAGATGTGAAACTCTAAAGTTGCACCAACCTCTGCTGCACAGGTAAGGCCAAACCTGCGTAATTTCGCTCTGTGGCTTCCCCCCCCCCCCCCCCCGGCACCAAGGGCATCGCTCCTTCCTGTGGGAGCCGAAGAATAGATTGAGGCTGGGGCGATCCATCTATTGGAGGGAGAGAAGCAGCATGCAAGTTTCACAACTCGCGATTTCTCAAGATAGTGCCGACCTCCACGCCGTTGTTAAACGGCTTTTACCTCGTTGTTGCATTTGGGCGTTTCTCTTTTCGTCCAAGGCTCTTATGCGCACGGTTCTTTTCTTAGGGGGCGCCTCCAGCAAGCCACCCTTTTCGGTTGAGATCTGCCGGCGGCTGAGCACGCATCCTACGCACCCACCCCCGTCTCCACGCGGAGACTTCGAGGGATACAAAATGCATTAGGGAGATTAAGCGTAGGAAGGGAGGCAGCTCAGCTAGTGGGGTTAGAAAAACCTGCGAAGAGAGGGCGTGGAGTGGACCACTTGCAAGAGCTCACCTCTGCCAGGGCTTGTGGTAGGAATTGCCATTTGCCCTGCAGCGTGAGGCTGCAGACATACCTCACGGAGTTTAGGTTGTACATAAATACACATGGCCACATTTGGACACACTCTAAGTTTCCATGAAATGGCCTGCAATTTTAATGAGCCATTCAGGTTCAGAGCACCGAATTAGTATGCGATAGTGAGCTTTTACTCCCACCAGTACACATTACCCGTAAGAAAAGCCCGCCTCTGACTTGGCTAGGTTCACTGGAAATATTTGTATGCAGCACTGCTGTGTATAAAAATAGTTATGTTAGAATTCTAGGACATAAAAATGTAGATAATAGGGGGTTAGAATAGGCGCACATCCTGCTCAATGAATTTGGGAGCTGTAATGTACAGCTTCATACTGCTTCATACAAGGAAATGTGTGTGATCGTAATTGCAGCTGTGCGCATTAAAAGGATAGCTGGAAAGCAACAGGTGATACAAGTGCAATGCTCACATGTAGGTACAAAGCAGTACCAAGGAATAATAGACAGTCTTCATCTAGAGATCCGTTACAAACTTATATAAATATCCATGAGAACACATGAATCGCACAGTAAGTTTAGCCTGTGATCCTACGCCCACTTACCTGGGGGTAAACACCATTAAATTCAGTGAGATTTACTTATGAGCAGACATGCATGGGATTGTTCTGTTATAAAAGCAAAAAAATGTACTTACATGACAAGGACTATAAGTGGTACTAAGTTTTTACTGTCCTTTCCCAATTTAGGACTGTACAGCTGCTTTGACTGGTCACTTTAAGCCTCATTAATTTGGGAATGCTAGGATGGATTAGGGTTAGGGCCATGACAGCCAATTCTGAAATTACGAAGTGTTTAAAAAATTACACTATAAGAGCCAGCGTGGTGTGGTAAGTAGAGTGCTGAACTGGAAACCCAGGAGATGAGGGTTTTTGTCCCTACACAGATCTGAAACTCACTGGGTGATTTTGGGCCAGTTGCAGCCTTTCAGTCTAACCTACCTTACAGGGTTGCTGTTGTGAGGATAAAATGAAACAATGTAAGCTACCTTGCTTTCTGCACAAGAGGAAAAAGGGTCAGATATAAATGTAGTGTAATAATAAAAATAACAATCTGCAAATTTTGCAGTAAAATCAACAAAGAGGATTAACTAAATATGTATAGATGTATAGTAACCTACATGTTTGTGGGTAGAATACACTTCCTCTCTTCTACAAAGTTGTAATTTTAGGGTCAAACTAAGTAAGATGGGAGTTCCATGTGCAGGATTTCCTAGTTTTAAAAATGTTAATAACAACGTTTTTGTTAGAAGATTCAGATCAGGACCAGCTCAGGAGCGGTAGAAGATTCAGATCAGCATCAGGGTGCTGGATGAGAAGAGTTATGCCAGGGTGTTTTCTTTATTACAGTTCTTCTGCCAGCTGTTGTTTGCTGCATGTGGCAAAACATGCAGATAGTAGTAAGGAATTTGGAAAATAGTTCATAGGGAAAGGGTTGAATTCCCTACTGACACTAGGGCCCTCATTAGAATTAACCCCTCCCTCTAATATCGTTTATTAATATTAAAAAGAGCAACTTGTTGATAATCCTGTCCATGGACCTCTTAGGTCCTATCTACCTTGCTGCTCCGTAGATGAAAATATATGCTGTCCATTGGGACTACCACGTTTCATGCATCAGACAAAATGGCTTTGATCTCTGAAATTTTATGTGCCTTTGTTGATCTTTAAGGTGTCACAAAGCTCTCTGTTGATAATGTAAGTTATGCGTAGATAGTTGGTTCTGTTATAAAAGAGTTAGATATGGACCAGAAGCCTGCAGATGTTTTTGCTGTTGCTCTCCAAATGTTTTGGGCTTATTTCTCACTGTTGGCTATGTCAGCTAGGGCTGATGAGAACTGTCGGCCAAAACTTCTAGAGAGCCATAAGTTACCTCCCCCTGCTACACAACACCACATGTGTCAAATTAGATTCTATCTACTAGATAACCACTTGATGTAACAGTCCTCAGAGTGTTTTAGAATTCCCAGTCCTGTAAGTATGCATTAAAAGGTGAGGCAAATTATAGCCATTCACTATCCTTTAATCTCCCTGAATTTGAGTACAAAAGGAAGTTGGGTAACGGATACCTATTTTAGGGGATGTTGTTGCGAGGATAAAAATGGAGTGGAGAAGAACTAACTAAGCCCTCGAGTTCCTCGCAGGAGGAAAAAAGTGAGATATAACTGCAATATAATTGTAATATTGAAAAGGCATCACAAAAATAGGTCTACACAGCAAAAATGCCTGATTCTATTCATTTATTGATGAATTTGTTTATTGACAACATAGTAATATCATATTCTTTTTCTCCTCATCTTATATAAGGCAAGAGGCATTTGGCCAAGTGACTCTGATATAAGGGGAAGTAACTGAAAATTGTGCTATATGTATTTACCCAGAAGTAAATCTCACAGTGGGACTAATTCTCACATAATTGCATAAGATTGCAACCCTAACCCCACACATACAGTAACTCCAACTAGGTTCATTCAATTCAAAGAGCAGCGAACCATCAGACAAAGCAACTAAAAATGTGTACAGATAGCATAATGCGATGAAAGCTCATCTCATGTTTGTGTCATATAAGCCAGGATATGCAAAAATTCCACAGATACTTATTCACTTAGGCACACCAAATAGGCAGATCAATACACTTGCGCTAGCCACAATGTGAAGGATGCTAAATGTGTACAAAATTAAAGTCTCTAGAACACAACTTAGCTCAAAAAGTAAGAGATGCTGATTAATTTGGAGCAGAGTGTAGCACAAAGATGCATATTAGATACATAGGCCATAGACTCATCCACAAACATGCAGCACTCTTCCTGCTGGTGGCCTGTAGCAATGGAAGTCACAAACACTCCAACACATATACAGTCCAATAGGTAGTGCTTATAATACATGTGCACATTCTCAGTATTGGAGGAAATAACTGTGTATTGTGCAGCCCAACCTATGCTCAGAAATAAATCCCACTAAATTCAATTGGACTTCCTCTCACATTAAGTACGTTAGATTACAGTCTTAAATAGCTGGCTCAGACATGAAGCAAATCCATGTAGCTTTCAGCAAGCTGCCCAACTGCTCAAAAATTCAAGGAGTAGGAAACCGGTAGGGTGGGGAGAGCAATCTGTGACTTTCCAGATATCCTTGGACAGCCGCTCTCAGCAGTTTCAGCCAGCATGGCGAAGAGACCCAGATGACAGAAGCTATAGTCCAGCACTGTCTGGAAGGATACAGGTTACCCACCCTGTATCGTTAGAATATAGAAAAACTAAAAATGTGCCAAGGCACAGTGTAAAGTATTGCGATGTAAAGCAAACTAGCAGCATAAAGTAGAAGCACACCCAAAGAAACACTCTGGGGAATATCTGCTTCTCTGGTTCCCTTACCCTCTCTGTGCTCCCCTTGAACCTATGCCTCCAGCTTGGGTTTCATGTGACCTCTTAGATGATTAGCCCCACTGGGTTGGCAAACATCTCAGCATCTTTTCCTACAGATTTTTCAGGCATATGTCTAGAGCCTCCAATTGTCCTTTTCCAGTTTGCCTTAAAAAATAGTTCATGTCATCCTTGCTGGTTTTCCTAAGCATGATAACCTTACTTCCCAGGAAGGAAATCAAATTTTAGGCCCCACTGCCTCACTTCCTTCAGCATTATGGATATGTTTTGAGCCCTAGGTTCCTTTTCCACTGCCTATAATTTCCTCAAGTCCAAGGTCAGGAAATAGGACAGTTACCACTCTCTGCAGTTTTATGGTGATCCATAGTGAGTTTTCAACTTTTATTCTCTTCAGCCTTAATGTACAACCTCCTAGCATAGCATAGCTGAACAGATAAAGCCCCAGTCTCTAGCAATTCTTAATTTCTAATGAAAAATTCTAGTCCTGAAGAATATATTGTAGTATTATGCCTTCTCCCTTGCTGGCCATTCCTATGAGCAGAATGCTGGCTGTTGTGACTGAAAGTTTTTAGGACTAAAGAGATTTTGAGGGAAAGGCGAGCCCCCAGGTTAGTTGGTTTGCTAAGTCAGGCCACCCTGCTCAGCCTGCTTCACCTTCTTGAACTTCTCAGTCCTCTTAGCTTTTTGAAAAATAAATAGGGCTAAGCATAATCTTGTTTAGAACTTGTATCTCAATATATCTGTAGCTATGCTTTCTTGCCCCTGAAAGTAGAGGGAAAGTTACTTTAGCCAATATGCAAAACTAATTTCCTTATTAGTCACATAAGCCAGGATTGTGCCCCTGCATGAGAAAAATAGAATTGGGGCTATAAAACGGTTTGGGATAGCAATTCTGTAAAATTTTTAAACAGAAAAAAAGCCCTTTCTAACTGCAGAATGGTGGGAACTGTAGGGGAGTTTTTTCCTGTCTCAACAGTTACAAGACTGTACCCCTAGGTTAGTACGGTCTATGCTCCTTAGATTTGACATAATGTTATGAAGAAATTGAAATAAATGGCTCAATAGTTTGTCCTTGATTTTTATTTTATTTGTTGAACTAGATTAAATTAGGTAAACACTGAGGTATCTCAGTGGTTCTGTGCAATACAACGTTAAGTTTTGCTTTTTGGGATCAGGGGATTTAAACATCCTCAAGAAGAGGAAGAGCTGAAGTGTTGGCGAGCCCTTCTGGCGACGCCTCCCACCTCCCTCTCGTCCCCCAAAACTTGACCAAGCTCCTCCCCAAAACCTGAGCCATGCCGCCATTGGCCGAGTTCTGCCTCCCGCAGCCAACTAGCATGTCCGAATTGAGGTCCCTCAGTTTTCCCGCGCTGACCGTACCCTCTCCCTCTCTCTGTTTCGTCCCTCCACAGTTGTTTATGGAGCCGCGGGCGGGGGCCGGCTCTTCGCCCCTACGCATCCGTGGCTTCCCGGGCCATGCTGCAGCTGCCACTGTCCCCGCCGCCGCCGCCGCCAGCCCTCGAAGGACGTGGTGGGCTGCTCGGCAGGGGCTGACCTGGGAGAAGCAGCAATAGCAGCAAGAGGAAGCAGCAGCGCCTCTCCCTCGGCGGCCCGACCTTTTACTATGGCCGTGTCTTGCTATGCGCTCAACAGTTTAGTGATAATGAAGAGCGCCGAGGAAGAGGAGAAGAGTGGCGGCGGCTGCAAGAGCAAGACGCCGCCAGTGACGCGCAGGCAGGTGCTGCCCGGACTGGTCCGGGGAAGCGAGAGGCACAGCAGCTACTGTCCGCGGCCCGGGCGCGGCGGCTCCAGCAGCGCCGCCACGGCTTTCCTCTTTCCTCCAGGAGAGCTGCCGCAGGCGAGGGAGGAGGCGTTCGCACGCAGGACTCCGCGACGGCTCAGCAGCCCGAGCTGGGGGACCCGCTCCAGCCGCTCGCCTTCGCCCAGCTCGGCGAGGATCCTTCAGCGGGAGCTGCAGAACGTGCAAGTGACCCAGAAAGTGGGGCTCTTCGAGGCGCGCATCCAAGCGCAGAGTCTGGATGCCTCCGCTGCCACCTCTCCCCCCAAGAGCTCCCCATTGGCCAGGAGACGGTCTCCTTCCCCCGGACCATCACGGGCCGCGCAGATGTTTGAAGACGCTGCAACGAGGGGGTCGAGGCAACAGCAGGTGGTGGCGGCGAAGACGCCAGAGAGCCTGCTGTCCCGGCTAGAAAGCTCGGGAAAGACGTCGGAGCGGGAGGCAGAGAAAGACTCAGCAACCCGTCTGTCATACGTGGCGGAAAGGAGAGAGACTGGTAGCAGCTCCTTGGTGCTGCAGGGTGCGATGGAGATGGAAAACGGGCTTTTCCTGGGGCAACGATCAGCAGAGACTGGTCTGGACGGTGGGGTCGCTGGAGCACCAGGTTCGAAAGAGGCAGAGATCAGGAGCAAATTGCCCCAGGCTTGGGGTTTGGATGAAACAGTGCCAAAGGCACGTGATTCAGATGGGATGGAGAGGGTGAATGGGATTTTCAGGGAGCAGGAGTCGGGGAACACCGGGAGGAGACTGGGATCTGGTGTGGGGCAGGACTTGGAGTATGGAAGTGGATCTCCTGAAGGAAAGGACTCCAGAGATCTGGTAAACTCCAGGTGGTGTGAGGGCACGGAGGCGTTGGGGGTGAGGGGCAGCGAGGGGCAGCCAGGTGAAGGTGATGCTGGCAAGGTGAGTGGATCTTCCAAGAATCAAGGCTTCTTACAAACCATGCAGGGGAGGAGCAGCTTTCACAGAGGGCAGGGCTCAGACGCCATGGAGAAGCCCCTTGGAGAGCCGCTCCCAACAGGAGACCCGCCTTGTCTTGCCAAGATTGACAGCAAGGGCAGCAGCAGCAGCAGCAGCAGCAGCTGCTTGCTAGCTTTGACTTGTTCTGTGAAGCAGGCACCACTGCTGTCACCACTGGAGTCCTGCTCTGAGATTATGGCTGAATCCAATGGAACTGGGCTGCCAGAGCAGCATCCCACAGAGCAGCAGCAGCCTCCCTGGGGAGCCTCCGTGGAAGTACATCAACAACAACAGGAGAAGTCCCTAGTGGAAGGGGAGAGTTGCTTTGGAGGAGGACGAGGCGGAGGCAGCAGTAGCATCCCTGCTGTCATTGTGACTGACCTGGACGCTCAGGAGGAGGATGAGGCAGGAGGAGCCCCCCAAAAGAACTTGTCTGTCAGGAAGCTGTCGTCGTCTTCAGCTTCTTCAACTGGCTTCTCTTCATCCTGGGAAGAATCTGAGGAGGACATTTCCAGTGATCCTGAACGATCCTTGGACCAGAGTCCAGCCTTCCTGCAGACCCTGGATAAACCAAGAGTGGTAAGTTCCCAGCAAACCTTGTATTCAACACTAGTAGGACAACAATAGGCTTCTCAGTGGTTTGCAGAAAGTTCCAGGTGCAGTTGGCATCCCTCTATAACCCCCATACATTAGTGGATGGGAATCCTTTTAAAGGGAAATATGGGTCTGTTATTAATTTCCTTTTTGGTTAGTTTCTGTATTACTGCTTATTAGCACCTAATCTTTAACATCCTTTAATATCACTTGTGTGTTCCCCAAGCTATATAGAGAGAGAAAGGGGGAGAGGGGAAAGGGGGAGATTATCTGTCCTCACATTAGTCGTATAACTGGTATCCCGTGACAGAAAAATTTGTATGATCATGTGCTAGAAATGCCCATGGAATTTGATGGGTGGAGGGAACAAACCTGTGTTAAGACAAGTCTTAGATAATGGTGTATGAACTTTGGAATATCTGACTTTGAGGATGAAACTAAAGGTGGATTCTCACTATGCTATGGTTTCTTGCCAGAAGTCTTCAGCTTTAGAGACCATCATACACTCAGGGTGGATTAATTAAATAAAGGTAATTTACAGTGTAATGCTATGCATGTCTGGTTGGAAGTTATGCAGCCTCAGATGACACTAAACCTTTGATCATGCAGTCAATGTGCAGTGCAAGATTATATCTATTTAGAGAGAATAAAGTCTGTTTGCCTTCTGTATGCATGCAAGGATACCAAGTAAGATCTCTTAAGTGAAGGCTGATTCTGCAATCCTATACACATTTTGGGGAGGAGGGGGAAACAGTCCTGCTGAAGCAAGTGACAGTTAAGTGGCTATTACATGTAGAACTCTGCTATAAGAATCCAGAATATCCTATGACCAGGGACAATAATTACTGAATCAAAGATTATTTATCAGTGAGAAAAAAGTAAAGGTCCATAGGGTTTGCTTAATAGAACAAAATATATTCACAGTGTGAATTGCAAAGCCCAGGAAGATGGAAGGGCTTAATTATCCCAATGAAATCTGTAGATGATCATGGTTATACACACAATGGTACCTCCACCATCCTAGCACCAGTGATGACTTGCTTGAACATAGGTCCAGCAGAAAGTCAGCAATAAATACAATACTTGAGATTGTGTCATTCATCATGCTTAACAACAGAAACATATTCCAATTCTATACAAAAAAGCAGACTTCAATTAAATTTGTTTGATAGATTATCAGAATTTAGTTTTAAAAGGTAAGAAGCCCTCAGCATGTTTCTATAAAAGGGCAACCAGTATTATCTTTTTAACAATCTGTTTAAGTCTGATTTAAAGGCTTTAGAGTTTTTAAAGGCTTTGATGTGTTTGCACAGAACCCCCTTACGTCAGGTTGAACAAACCTGTTCCACTTAAATTCTCCTACACTGCAGTAGCTGTTGATTACAAATACAGATTGGGGTACATTTGTGTGCATGGGGGTGGAGCAGAGCTATATAGTTTGCCTCTACCCAGATAATTCTTTAGGACTGTGATCCCAGAAGTGTCCCAGCTACACACAATTGTATTCTATAAGGATTGCCAACTTACAATAAGGGCAGAAGACGATTTCACAGAAGGAGAAATGATTGTATGAATCTCAAGGCATTTGATAGCAAAGAGCTTCAGCTACTATTGCTTGTCCCAGATGAATGGGAGAAAATCTTATTTGTCATCTTTAGAAACAAACAAACAAACCCTTGCTAGCTTGTCCTACTGTTCTACTTCATTGCTCTGATTCCTTCAGCTGTTATTAATTAGGAATGCTTCATGTTTTCAGTCTCAGTTAAAAAGCCAATGCAAGTGATAGGCACTCTGTTTGATAAGTGAACTCATCACATGAAGATGCTGTGACCATTAGAGAAGTTTCATATAGAGTTTAAAGAAAAGTTTGAATAGAAGAAAATGTTTTTGATACATTAAACCTAATAAGACTTGTAATGCATTCATTTTCAAATGTGTCACTAGGGAAAGGCACCATTTGCAGGGTTAGCCAATATATGCCAGTTTGTTGATATGAGGATTACGTTTTTTATTTATTTAATTTGCTACTGTCCAACAGCCAAAGCTCACTTAAATTCTGCTATACTGCAATAGTTGTTGATCACAAATACAGACTGGGGTACATTTGTGTGCTTGAGGTTTGGGGAGGACGGTCCCGTTTTATATCTTTTTAGTGAACATATCCTCTGATTCCTCTAATTAAATAACAGTTTCTCCTTTATAGAAATGTATCAGATGAGCAAGTTATTCACAAATCCTTGTTAAGTTTCAAGAAGGTGCTCTGAGATCTTCCTGTCAGTAAAGCTTGCTGTGTTAACATTTTACTTGGGATTAGTGAAAAATCAAGAACCATTTATTTATATTTATTCCTATATAAGGGAGATATAAGCCCCAACATCCTTGGTTCCTACTATCAAAATGTCACTCAAAAGGATGCCCTGATATGCCCTGCTGGACAATTTGAGCACAACTGTTTGGGGTGAGGTGAGTCAGTGCTAGCTCTTTTCAGTGCTAGTTTAACTGTGTGTGTGTGTGGGAGGGGGAGCCAACTGTGGGCTTTCTGCAATTCTTTTAAAAGCTGTCATGGTGGACAGTATACTGTTCCAGAAGAAAGTAGACAAAACCCATTCTTGCAGTGAGAGGCAATTGGTTTATACTTAGGGAAGAAGTTATGCTTGTTAAACTAATGACTGTCTCACTTAAAGACTAAAAAAGATATTGTGGCACAAGTTTTATGGGCTACAATCCACCTCGTTGGATGCTTGGAGGTGAGTTTAGCTCTGGCAAGATGTATTTGTTAGTTTTTAAACAAACCAAGAAGTTTTCTAACAAGTTTTTTCTGAGAGAGTGTCCCTTCTTAGGGTTCCTGTTGTAGGGGAATTGCCTAATATGTACCTAAGATGGCATCCTGACAAAATAACCTTTAGGTTGTGACTAGTTGGAGAGTTTGCCAAATGTAAAAGAATTACCTTATGCTTTTTTATTTTGTCTAATATAAGGACAATTTCAGCAATACATGGTATGTGAGAATTGTGGAATATAGGACCATGGGCTGTTGCCTCTCTTTTGATAGTTAAATCAGTTTTCCAGACAGATTTTGTGCAAATGGCTGATTATGTAACCTTAATTTCTTCTGATAAGTAACAAGGGCCAGATGCCTACATTTGAACAGGCAGCATTTCACTATTTCTTTTAAGTAATGTTGGTGGATAGGCTCTCCAACACCTACTTGAAAGAAAACAGAAAACTCAGGCACAGGGATGGAGAACTTGTGGCCCTCCAAATGTTGGTGAACAGTAATTTCCAGCATCTCTCCCCAATATAGTCAACAGTAAGGGATGCTGGGAATAGCATTCGAACACCTTCTTAATGGCTGCATGTTTTCCATCCTTGATTTACTTGGCTGTCCATAGCGACTGAGACAGCCATTATGATGCATGAATGAAATATACTGATGACCTAATATAAGGTCATATACTGATGACCTAATATAAGGTTCAAGGTTTGTTCTAGGAAGCAAGCTAGCTTGCAGGAGTTTTTGCTCAGGGAGAGTGGTTACTTTTGGAATTGCTTTTTTACTGTCATTTAGCGACAAGACTCTTCAACTTCATCAGGTTTTTCTTCTTGTTCAAGTCAAAATATCAATAGGATTATTCATGGGGCTCTTGACTTTGTTTCTGTCTGTAATCAGTGGAAAGAAGCAGATGTATGGTGCATGTGCATATGAATATGCACACAGCTGACACACACATGCACATGTCTACACATATATGTGTATACACATATGTGTTCATACACACAGAGAAGCTATGAGCTCCCCTAATGTTCATTTTGTGGAGATCAGAACAACAGGAGAGATCCGGTAAAGTATCTCAAACTAAACTGATGATGCGTGATATCATAAATTGTGAGCATATGTCTTTGCGTACAATGGCAGTGGGGGATGCGCCAATAATTCGAACTGGGAAAACAACCCTGGAAGCCCAAAGTGAGACTGCTGACTTAATCTGTCTGACCAACCTAAACTAAACTCCAGAGCTAGATCTTGTGGGAGCTTCTGTAATTAAGTAAGACCAGTGCAAAGACCTTTGCCCACCTAGGTATATTCTGCAGTAGTTGAACATGTTAATGCTTGTAAGCCAGGAACAGACCTGTCCTGTAAAATTCAGGAACGATTAGTGACCCAGTCAGGAAAACATACTAGCACTATTCAGGCATTCAGCCTGAATGCATCAGGGCACAAATGTGTCTGGAGGGGAAGAGTGTGTTCTGCCCTGTCACCGACATCCCCAGTGCGTGCCAGCCATGCCCCTCCCAACCTTCACACATTCAGCATGGATTGCTGAAGGAAGGCTTCTAGGAACATTAAGAGAATAAGTGACAAGCTGGGTCAGACACAGTGGCCATCCGTTTATGCACAAGAAAGTCCCAAGCTGGACAGGAATGCAACAGCACCCTCCTGCCCACGCTCCTCAGCAGCTAGTGTCCATAGGCAGATCGCTACTGACACTGGAGGCAGTTCCCCTGGACTTTTGTGCTGAATGTGTGAAAGCCAATAGTAGATAGTGTGGAATTAGCATCTGCCTCTGCCACCCTGCGCATGTGGCACTTTCACATGTTTACGATGAATGCTTGAATAGGGATAATTTTTGTACCCCTGTTCAGTACTCTCTCAGGGGCTTTGTGAGGGCTAAATGGTAGTGAACTTCTCGTTGTGTTATTTCCAAAGGAAACATCCATATATTTCTTTTAGCTTTTTTGCCCGAGCTGGATCTTTATGTAATTTGAAAATTTCCCATCATAATTTATTTTCTTCAAGTAACTTCATACATCTTGATTCTGGAAAAGCTTCAGGCATGGTACTGTGAATAGTATTTCTGGGAGTGAGAAGGGTGGCTGTTTGGGGTGCTCATTCTAAAGGACTGGGTGTGAAGCAGAAAGGGAGAGTGTTGGGGAGAATGGGCCATCCTGACATGGAGAAACGGAGGCACTTCTCTCACGGCCAG